AGCCCAGAGAGGTGTCATGGGCCCATTAATGAATCTGTAGCAACACAGTGGAGCACAATGTCCAAGTAGAAAGGATCTCTGGTGAGGTCAGCATATCTTAGACACCAGGAGATAGCTAGGAGCAAAGACAAAAGGTGGAGGCTATAGGCATCAGCCATGCTGCTAGAACCACCATGGTTCCCAATGGCCTGATCCACCCAGGACACTGCCATTTCTTTCTACTGAGGTAACCAAGAGCCATCCCCACCAGGAAACCCCAGAAAGGGTGATGTGTCTGTACACTCCTCCTCCAAACAAGAATCAGCACTGTTGAGTCACTATTGGGAAAGAAGTCACCACCTCCTCTAACCCTATGTGTGCCCTGATCCAAAACATAGTCACTCTGTAAGTAACCACATTCCAGACCTGGGTTTTATGTCTACATTGAACCCACCCACATCTCAGACATTGGGAATCATTGTCACAGCAAGGTAGTCTGTACTCCAAATCCCAGAGTCACACATTCACTGTGTGTACCCATGCTCCAGGCACTGGTTTAGCCACCATAGAGAGCTATACTGTGCCCCAACTCCAGAGCAGCTCAAACTGTGTGGATATCAGTATTCTCATTCTTAGCTCCCCAGCTATTTCCAGGAATCTGCACTTTGCCTTCTGTTACCAAGGTGGCAGCAGAGGTGCATGTGCCCTGGGCACCAGTGTTGTTACTGCCCTGGATCCCAGATCCATGATCCCTCCACACATTCCTGTGTTTCACATCTCAGTTCTGTAGCCACTCCATTGCCACCACTCATCAAATACTCATGCCACTACCAATGCAAGCAAGCTGATAAGTCAGACCCAGTACCAAGAGGGATTTTATCAGCAAACCCTTCCCACTGAGAGAAAAATAAATCAGAAGAACTTTAATAGTCATTGCCACTGAAGACACCAATAACTTTTGCCACAATTGCAAACATTCACAGCATTGGCTGCTGAGGATCCTCGAAATCTCTGTCACCACCAACCTCAGCTCCCAGAGCTACACAAAGGTGACACAACTCTCAATCTCATGAGTGCCAGAACTGCAGCAACCCACCCAGCAAGTGCCCTCAAACCCCTGTAGGAGAAGGTCTTTCAACAGCTAAACTAGTCAGAAGAGGCTATAAGAGGTGACTGCTGCACCAGATTTGCAGACATCAATGTAAAGCAACAAGAAATATGAAAAACCAAAGATACAACATGACCAAAACACCACAATAATCTCCTGAAGCTGATCCCAAAGAAATGCAGATGTAAGAACTGCCTCATAAAAAATTCAAAACATTTTTTAGAAGGATCAGACAAGTGTCCTTAGGCAATTTTATCACTGCATAAACATCACAGAGTTACTTACATAAACCTACATGGTTTAGCCTACTACATACCTAAGTCATATGATATAGTCTACTGCTCCTATGCTATAAAGCTGTACAGTATGTTACTACACTAAATACTGTATTCAATTTGAATACAATGGTAAATATGTGTGTCTCTAAACAGAAAAATTAGAAAAACATAGCACGAATATGGTATAAAAGGTTTTAAAACTGATATGTCTGTATAGAGTACTTACCATCAAGGTAGCTTGCAGAACTAAGAGTTACTCTGAGTGAGTCAGTGAGTGAGTGCTAAGTGAATGTGAAGGCCTAGGACATTACTGTGCACTACTGTAGACTTAATAAACACTGCATACTTGGGTTACACTAAATTTTGAATAAATTTTCTTTATTCAATAATAAATTAACCTGAGTTTACTGTAACTTTTTTATTTAATAAACTTTTTAATTTTTTTCCTTTTTTACTCTTTTGTAATAACACAGCTTACAACACAAACACACTGTACAATTGTACCATTTATAGAACTAAAAGCCCACATTAAATAAAAGATCCCAATGTTACACCACAGGGAACTAAGGAAAATTGAACAAACTAAATCCAAAGTTTATAGAAGGAAGAAAATAATAAAGATCATGGAAGAAATAAACAAAATAGATACTACAAAAACAATAGAAGGGATTAAAAAATAGAATAGATCAACAAAGCTAACAGCTGGTATTTTGAAAAGACAAACAAAATCAACAAACCTTTAATGAAACTAACAAAGAGAAAAGACTCAAAATCAGGAATAGAAGAACTATCTTTTAGATACTTTTGTATCTAGAGATACAAAAGATCACGAGAGGCTACTATGAATAACTATATGCCACCAATTTCAATAACCAAGAAGAAATGAATAATTCCTAGATACATGCAACCTATCATGACTAAATCATGAAGAAGAGAAATATGAATAAACCAATAATGAGTAAGGAGATTAAATCACTAATATAAAGTATTGTATTAAAGAAAAGCTAAGGCCTCATGGATACACTGCTAAATTCTACCCAATGTTTTAAGAAGAATTAATGCTAATGCCCCTCAAATTTTTCAAAAAAATAGAAGAGAGATAACTTCCAAACTCATTTTAGGAGGCCAGCATTACTAATACCAAAGTCAGACAAGGACACTACAAGAAAAGACAATTAAAGGTCAATATCTCTGATGATCATGGAAAACCTCAACAAAATACTAACAAACTAAATTCAATAGCACATTTAAAGAATAATTCACCATGATCAAGTGTGATTTATCTCTTGGGTGCAAGGATGGTTCAACATAAAGCAATAAATGTGATGCATCACATTAACAGAATGGGGGACAAAAACCACATGATAATCTAAATAGATGCAGAAAAAACATCCATTAAAATTCAAAAACATTTCAAAAACAAACTTTCAACCAGTTAGGTATAGGAGGATTGTACCTCACCACAATAAAAGCCATATACAACAAACAAGCCACAGCTAACATTATACTTAATGGTAGTAAGTTGAGAGCCTTTCTTCTAAGATAAGAAACAAGACAAGGATGCTTATTCTCACCACTTCTGTTCTACAGAGCACTGGCAGCCCCAGGCAAATAAATTACGGGAAAAAAAAGAAACAGAAGGCATTCAGATTGGATGGGGGAAGTAAAGTTATCTTGGTCAGATAACATAAACTAATATATAGAAAACTCTAAAGACTCCACTAATAGAATCTATTAGAACAAACGATTAAATTTAAAAAATTCTCAGGGCAGAAAGTCAACACACAAACATTAGTAGTGTTCCTATACTCTAACAATGAACTGTCTGAAAAAGAAATCAAAAACATCTCATTTACAATATCTACAAAAAAAAATTCCTAGGAATAAACTTAAACAAGGAGGAAAAAAAGTTCTACAACGAAAATTATAAAATATTAGTAAAAGAAGTTTAAGAAAGCACAAATAAATAAAAAGATATCCCATGTTCCTGGATTGGAAGAATTAATATTGTTATAATACCCATCAGTTATGAATTTAATCCCTATCAAAATCCCAATAACATTTTTTGACATAAATAGAAAAAATCCAAAAATTCATATGTAACCATAAAAGACCCTGAATAGCCGAAGCAATCTTGAGCAAGAAAAACAAAGCTGGAGGAGGCACTGTACATCCTAATTTTAAAACATATTATTTAGCTACAGCAAACAAGACAGCATAGTACTGGTATAAAAACAGACACGTAGATCAATGGAATAAAATACACAATGGTGTTGAAAAACTAGATATCCACATGCAGAAGAATAAAATTATACCTTCATCTCACACTATATACAAAAATCAACTCAAACTGGATTAATGACATACATTTAGGATCTGAAACTAGGATTGCTAGAAGAAAACATGAGAAACACTCGATTATGTTGATCTGGGCAAAGATTTTTTGGATATGCCCCCAAAAGCAAGGTAATGAAAAAGATAATAATAGCAAAAATAAGTAAATGGTATTAAACCAAACTAAAAAGTTCTGCACAGCAAAGCAAACAATTAACAGTATGAAGAAATAGCTTACTGCATGAGAGAAAGCATTTGCAAATCATAAATCTGATAAGCAGTTAAGATCCAATTTACAGAAGCAGCTCAAACAACTCAATAGTTAGAAAACAACCAAATAAAAGATGAGCATGGGATCTGAATAGACATTTCTCTAATGAAGACATGCAAATAGCCAACAGGTATATGAACAACTGTTCAACATCACTAATCATCAGAGACATGCAAATTAAAACCACAATGAGATACCACTTCCCACACATTAAAGTAACTATTATCAAAAAGATGGAAGATAAGTGCTCGTAAAGATGTGAAGAGAAGGGAACCCTTGTATGCTGTTGGTAGGAATGTAAATTAGTAAAGCCATAATGGAAAACACTACAGGGATTCCTCAAATAATTTAAAATAGAACTACAATATTATCCACAATTTCACTTCTGGATATACCTCCAAAGGATATGAAATCAGTATATAAAAGAGATATTTGTACTCCCATGTTCACAGTAACATTACTCACAATAGCCAAGACACGGAATCAAACTTAGTGTCCAGCCACAGACCAATAGAAAAGGAAAATGAGCCTTAAAAAAGGAAGTAAATTCTGTCATTTGTGATAATATGGATGAACGTGGAGAACATAATGTTAAATAAAGTAAGCCAGTCATTTAAAACAAATACTGTATCATCTTATCTATATGTGGAGTTTTAAAAAGTCAAGCTCATAGGAACAGAGAGTAAAATGTTGGTTACAAGAGGCCGATGGTGGGAGGACTGAAGCAATGTTGGTCAAAGGACACAAAGTTCAGCTGGAAATGAGAAATGTTTAAGAGATCTACTGTACATCATGAGTACTGTTAATAATAACATATTACATAATTGAAAATTGTTAAGAGATATTTTAAGTCTTCTCAACACACAAAAAAACAAGGTAATGTACATGTTAAATAGCTTGATTTTGTTATTCCACAATGTGTATATATATTAAAACACCATGTGGTACACGATGAATGTATATAATTTTTCTTGGCAATTAAAAATTAATCTTAAATTATTTTAAGGTTATCTACAATTATTATACTTACTATTGAGTTGATTATCTTGGAAAGATTTTTGTTTCTTTACTTCCACTTCCGTTTTTGACTTTGTGTCTTGTTCAAGCATAAGATTTTCTTCTGGTACTTCATTATGAGCTACACAAATTAATAAATTTAGTGCACTAAACATAAAAAAACTATAGTGAAACTTTTAGATTTCAGATTTATAACAAGTATAGTCATATTCTGTCTCATTTTTATACATGTAAAATATAAGTAAATTACTATAATTCTAGATGTTACATGAAAATAGTGACAATAACTTTAGAGGATCTGAGGTGAAGTAGTCTCATTATTTTGATATTTCTTGGCATCAAATATTTATATTAGCCTCTACTTGTTCTTGATTATTTATAATTTAGATTAATATATATTCATAGGCAAAGCAATGAAAATTCATACGTAGTTTATTCATTACAGCATACTTTTAATTTCAAAATACTCAAAAGCACTTAAATGTACAAGCATATGAGATTGGTTAATAAAAAGGTATATATTATAATTTATGGTATTATCAACTACAATATCTAATGTGATACAAAGAGTTGTACAGGCAGCTCTAAAAGTAATGAAAAGATTGTTATAACCTGATTTAGAGGGATTTATAGAAAGTAATGTTTAAGTGAGAAAAAAATTGAAATAGAAGAAAGATATCAAGTATGCTATCCATTAGGAAATAAATGTAAAGAGATACTTACTTTTAGAAATGGAAATACAGGAAAGATAAACCAGAAAACAAATTAGTTGGTGACCAAAATTTGCATAGATGCTACATGCAAAATTGTATCCAATGACGATTGTTAAATTTAAGCATGTTCCTAGCACTAAATGTCTACAATGCATGTTTTCATGTTTTATTGATTTTTCCATGTGTGATGAAAAATTATGTAGAGTCCTCAGGATCATATTGCACACCAATCAAAAGAGACCATAGAAGAGATGTGAATAGTTCACCTTTACCTTAAATGAGTTACTCCTATTACATTTAATTAGGGACAGTGGCACTTACGAGGTATGTCACTGCAGACCTCCTCATTCAGAATGTCCTTCCATGGCCACTTTGTCCAAGAAGGATAAAGAAGTAGGTAGGGGGAAAGTATTATATACATATGAGACCCTCTCCTTTCTTAGCTGGCTGCTATTTGGCCTCTGACTAATTTTGTCCAATTGTGGTGAGTTCCCTGCCACTGAAAAACTTTTTTTGACCACTCTTCCAGTCACCTGCAAAGTGCCCTGAAAGCTACCTGATAGTCTCTTACTTCAGCAATAAGAAGTAAGAACAGCAGATGACAAATAACATCATTTACCAAACTCAGACCTAGGTTCATTTGTGCTACTCTCATTGGTTATCTAGCTCAATTGAACACGATGATGTGAAATAGTTAGCAGCACAATCCAGATCTTAACTGAAAAATTTCCATGCAAGACAAAAGAACCTACTGCCAAGATACCAATATTTCATTAGCAGTTAGAATGATGTAAAAATGTAACTGGGCACTCACTCCTGGACCATCTTTTTAAGTCCCTTCTCAAATACATCTATGGCTCTAGTTGCTCAACAATAAGGTCTCAAGGAAGAGATTGAGGGGCTCTCCATTAGATGTTTATGATCATTTAATAGTCACGGGGTCATGACACAGAGCCCCACTACAGTCCACGTAGTGAGGATTCCTGTAGCTAATAAAAGTGCTATCCTGGATACCCACAGTGGTGGAGCAAGATGGTCAAATAGAAGGTTACACCAATTATCCCCCTTGCAGAAACAACAAATTTAAAACTATCTGTACATGAAAAGCACCTTAATAGGAACCAAAAATCTGCTGAACACTCACAGTATCTGGTTTTAACTTCATATTGTTGAAAGAGGCACTGAACAGGGTAGAAAAGACAGTCTTGAATTGCTAATGCCCTGCCTCCCTCATTGATCAGCAGTGTCCGCTTGGAGCAGAGAGAAATTATTTGTGCTTTTTGAGAGAAATAGTGCAGTGATTGTGAGACTTTGCATTGAACTCAGTGCTACCCTGTCATGGCAGAAAGAAAAATCAAGCTAAACTCAGCTGATGCCCACCTATGGAGAGAGGCCAAAAGGGAACTGCATATTTCTGCTGTTAGAACTTGAGTTCTGGTAAGCCTCACCACCATGGGCTAAAGTTCCCTGAAACTTAACTTGAAAGGCAATATAGGCCACAAGGACTGCAACTCCTGGGTAAGTCCTACTGCTGAGCTGGATTCAGAGCCAGTGGACTTAGGGGGCATCTACTGAGATACAAGCCAGGACAGCTAAAGGAGTGCTGTGCCAACCCTCCTCCAACCCCAGGTAGTGCAACTCACAGCTCCAAAAAAGTCCCCTTCCTTCTTCTTGAGGAGAAGAGAGAGATGAATAAAGAGGATTTCATCTTGTATCTTGGATACCAGCTCAGCCACAGTAGGATAGGGCACTGGGGAGAATTTTGAGGCCTCCGTTCCAGGCCCTAGCTCCTGGAAGACATTTCTAGACACATCCTGGGCCAAAAGGGAACTTGCCACCTTCAAGGGAAGAATCCAGTCCTGGCAAGATCTATCACCTGTTGACTAAAGAGCCCTTCGGCCTTGAATAATCAGCAGCAAGATCTAGGTGGTATGCTATGGGCATCGGGTGAGACTCTGAGATATGCTGGCTTCAGGTGAGACCCAGCACATTTCCAACTGTGGTGGCTATGGTAAGAAACTCCCTCTGCTTGAGAAAAACAGAGGAAAAAGTAAAGGGAACTTTGTCTTACACCTTAGGTACCCACTCAGGCACAGAGTAGTAAGCAACAAACAGGCACATACATGTGCACATGTCTTCATAGGAGAATGGTATCTATTCCTTTGGGTATATACCCAGTAACGGGATTGCTGCGCTGAATGCTATTTCTGTTTTTAGGTCTCTGATGAATCATCATACTGTCTTCCACAATGGTTGAACTAAATTACACAACCACCAATTGTGTATAAGTGTTCCTTTTCCTCTGCAACTTTGCCAGCATCAGTTATTTTGGGGCTTTTTAGTAATAGCCATTCTGACTGGTGTGAGATGGCATCTCATGGTTTCGCTTTGCATCTCTCTAATGATCAGTGATGTTAAGTTTTTTAATATGATTGTTGGCTACATGTATGTCTTCTTTGGAAAAGCGTCCATTCATGTCTTTTTCCCACTTTTTAATGGGGTTGTTTGTTGTTGTTGTTGTTGTTTATTTTTTTGTAAATGTGTTTAAGTTTCTTATAGACACTGGATATTAGACCTGAAACATAACTTTCATATGTACCATGAAACAAAAAATGTGTAACTTGCTTTATTGTGATATTTGCGTTATTGTGGTGGTCTAGAAGTGAACCTGCAGTTATCTCCAAGGTATGACTGCAGGTCATATTTTAGGCCACAAAATAAGTTTTAACAAATTTTAGAAGACTGAAATCATATCAATTATCTTTTCTTACCACAATGATATAAAACTAGAAATCAATCACAGGAAATTTTTCAGAAAACTGAAAATGTGGAAAAATTGAGTGGAACAGTCCTGGATAACCAATGAGTCAATGAGAAAATGAAAAGGAAAATCAAAAATATCTCAAGATAAACTAAAATGGAAACACAATATAAGAAACATGAAATGATGCAGAGGGGGCGCCCAAGATGGCTGAAGAGGAACAGCTCCAGCCTCCAACTCCCAGTGTGAGTGAAACAGAAGGCTGGTGATTTCTGCATTTTCAACTGAGGTACTGGTTTCATCTTACTGGGGCATGTCAGACAGTTGGTGCTGGTCAGTGGGCATAGCCCAACCAGTGAGGGCTGAAGCAGGGTGAGGCACCACCTCACCTGGAAAGCGCAAGGAGGAAGGGAATTCCTTTTCCTAGCCAAGGGAAACTCAGACACAAAACACCTGGAAAATCAGGTAACTACCACCCTAATACTGCACTTTACCAAGGGTCTTAGCAAACTGCACACCAGGAGATTATGTCCTATGCCTGGCCCAGAGGGTCCCACGCCCATGGAGGCTCCCTCATTGCTAGCACAGCAGTCTGAGATCTAACTACAAGGCAGCAGCAAGGCTGGGGGAGAGGGGCCTGCCATTGCTGAGGCTTAAGTAGGTAAACAAAGCTGCCAGGAAGCTTGAGCTGGGTGGAGACCACCGCAGCTCAAGGAGGCCTGCCTGCCTCTGTAGACTCCACCTCTGGGAACACGGCATAGCTAAACAAAAAACAGCAGAAACCTCTGCAGATGTAAATGTCCCTGTCTAACAGCTTTGAAGAGAGCAGTGGTTCTCCCAGCACAGAGGTTGAGATCTGAGAACAGACAGACTGCCTGCTCAAGTGGGTCCCTGACCCCTGAGTAGCCTAACTGGGAGACATCCCCCACTAGGGGCAGACTGACACCAAAAACCTCCCATGGCCAGGTACACCTCTGAGACAAAGCTTCCAGAGCAAGAATCAGACAGCAACACTTGCTGTTCAGCAATATTCTATCTTCTGCAGCCTCCACTGCTGATACCCAGACAAACAGGGTCTGGAGTGGATATCAAGCAAACTCCAACAGACCTGCAGCTAAGGGTCCTGATTGTTAGAGGGAAACTAACAAACAGAAAGGACACCCACACCAAAACCCCATCAGTACGTCACCATCATAAAAGACCAAAAGCACATAAAACTACAAAAAGTGGGAAAAGCAGTGCAGAAAAGCTGGAAATTCAAAAACTCAGAGTGCATCTCCCCCTCCAAAGGAATGCAGCTCATCGCCAGCAATGGAACAAAACTGGATGGAGAATGACTTTGACGATTTGAGAGAAGAAGGCTACAGTCGAGCAAACTTCTCAGAGCTAAAGGAGGAAATACGTATCCAGTGCAAAGAAACTAAAAACCTTGAAAAAAGAATGGAAGAATGAATAACTAGAATAACCAATGCAGAGAAGACCTAAAAAGAACTGATAGAGATGAAAACCATGACACGAGAACTACGTGACAAATGCACAAGCTTCAGTAACTGACTCGATCAACTGGAAGAAAGAATATCAGTGATTGAAGATCCAATGAATGAAATGAAGTGAGAAGAGAAGTTTAGAGAAAAAAGAGTAAAAAGA